TCTAACAATTGTCTGCTCGGCTCCATCTACATAAGTCGACTGAGTAATCAAGTTTTATTTAGCCACCAGGGTCACCCAATGTTAGACATTTTTTTGGTTCCTGTACATCGGACAACATTTTAAATGTCTGGCCAGCTTTACACAGAATATACTGCATACTCTAACCATAATGTGGATCCAAAACAAACAAAAATCTATTTAAAGGTGAATTGCAATCAAACAATGATACCTAGAGTAGGATTAGTGTAAAAACATATGGTAAAGTGATTCCTCTGTGGCCCACCTGGGTGGAGAAACATGCACCCAATCAAATCTAATTAATTTGACATTCTACCTTCTCTAGCAAAACAAAGAGGCAAGTGATGTGCTTGATGTAGTACTTTTACAGCGCTGAATCTTCTGATGGAGGTAGGCACTACCTTACTCTCTTTTTCTTGTCCTGCTGTGACCAATAGCCAACAGTCTAGTATTTGGGTCCTCCTCTACAAATGAATTACACACTTAGATATAATAAAGAAGAGAGATCTTAAAGGAACAATGTTATGCATTCCTTTATCAAATCTTTGTAAAGTTGTAAAACTATTTGCTGTAAAAAGCTTGCGTGCAGCAAAAATATGCACAATTTTACAGTTTGCCTTTGTATATCACGGTAGCGCCTGTCAGCTTAATAAGCTACCTGAGGAAATCCACTTATAATGTGCTGTCTAAACATCACCTGCCTCAGCTCCTGTAGGGTATTCGTGACATGCCTGAAAAGTTCATTGCCTACAAAATACATACACTGAGGTTAATAGACTGTGAAAGCAAATATGGAAGCATTTTTATATAATAGTAGCTGTTTGACTTTTAAACATTAAGTGTATATTTGCCGGCAGTGCAGTGACAGTTCTTGAATAGTTGGTCAGATTTGACATATCCAGACATTCAGCACCTGAGTGTAACCTCCATACTGTGTGAATTACTGACCTTTCTACAGTAAGGCAGCAAGTAAACAATGCAATGCTTCAATGCAAGAGGGCTTGTAGAATTGTCTTTAGCATCAACATATATACAAAATAGTCCCATTCGGTTTGAGCCAAGCTTGAAAGTGTCCACCAGATAGACATGGACTAAGGTGATGAGGCTTTTTGGACTCTAATAATTCCTCCACAGTGCGTCTTCTGGAATGTGTGACTGTCTAGTGTAATAGGACATATCTGCACTCTAGTCTCAGTTCCTAGGTTTGCTGTCAGAACAGTCTTGGCACATAATGACATACACCTCCCCAGGTAAGATTCTATACTTTCATATAATATGGGGCAATTGGCAGCCACATGTCCCGGTCTCTGACACTGCCAGCGCGCAAATATGCCATGTCTCTATCAAGGAAGAGACTCCCTTTGGGTTAGGAAGCAGTTCATAACTGGTATCCATACATGCCCCCACCCTCCTTTCCCCCCTTTCTTATGAGTCTGTTTACCTCTTGAAAATAAACAGTCTTACCCAAGGTTGACGGTTTTCTGTTTCCAAGGGTTACTGGCTTGCAGGCCAGATCCAGGAGAGAAGCTCTTGGAAGCATTATGTCACTGCACAAAGCTTACCAGCTCATCCATACTCTTGAACTCTGTATGTCTAACGCACTGCTGTATCTTAACTGGTAGGGCTCTGATGTAACAGTCATAGACCATTCACTTCACAATCTGAGAAAGGTAGAGCACTTGTTTGTGAGGTGTAACAAACCATACATTCAGAACCTCTTTGGCTGTCCTGGGTCATATTCCCATGTAAATACACGCTGTGCTTGAACAACCATTGTAACCCAGAACCTGGCTAGGATTTATCCTCTTAGTTTAATTCTCCTTGGCATTTTTAGGTTGTAAGTCAAAGCAAGCCTTCTGTGGCTTCTCAGTTAAAGAATGCTAGCACATGAGCCCACTGCTCCTCGGGTAGCTCCTCACGTTCTACAACTCTCTCAAAGATGCCCAGGTAGGCTACAACATCATCCTCCAGGGACAATTTCCATTATGCTGTCTACACCAGCTGTAGAGGTGTTGGCCCCCTGTGCTACCATCTGCCTCTCTGACAGGGCATGTACCTGTTGTTGTAGAGACAGGTTCACCTAATGTTCCCCTCTAAGGAGGCCTGGTGGTCTTCAGTCATCTATCAGGTGATGAAGTGGTACGCCTCTTGCAATAGCAGATTGGTTTGCTGTTGGTTAACATTTGCCAATAAAAGCTGTTTTACAAACTGGACAATTTTATTTAATAATAGATGTCTGTTCCTTTAAGGTGCTGCCCGCATCCAATGACCAAGTTCTAATAGGGACATGCTCAGCTTGTAGTGTCAGTGGTAAACCATGCATGACACCCAGGAACAGTCCAAGCAGGTTTGCCCTGCACTTTTATTCAGCAAGGCAGCAAACAAAGTTTGAATGCAGGAGGGCTTTGTACAGCAAGTCCATAGCAGAAAACAAACAACATCTGCTTGTCCGAGCTACTGACTAAACTCAGAACAGTTCCTGACTAACAGGGTGTCCCTTTATGGTTTTCCAAAAACAAAGCAGCACATTACTTTTTAAATGGTCTACCAGCACCTAGCCTTTCACCTAGCAGCATGCTCCCACTGCAGAGAGAGCCCAGACCTTAAACAAGGAGAGACTACATGAGCTTAGTATGTACAGTCTTGGCTAAAGAATGGAAAGGGGGGACATGATTGAAATCTTTAAATACATTAAGGGTGTGAGCAGGTGATCGGTAGCTGGCACATACGCCCCCTGGGAATAAGCAGTCTCTTGGGCACAGATACCAAATCTAGGGGAGTAGTGGCAAACAGTGCAGTGTTTATTAGTGATATTTACAAGAGCATTCACAGGTGCTGTACAGTGGTTCACAAGAAATCAACAAAATAAAACATAGCCGTATCCCGGCACTAACTTCACAAACAAAAGATATAGCTCCTAACTAACAGGCTGAGCAGGCCTACCGCTTGTCAGCCTCCACCTAAACTGCATGTTTTCCACCATACCTTGTAGCTCTCTCAGACAGGACTTCTCTGATCCCCAGGCATAGATCTCTGAGTACAGGTTCCAGGTGAGTTTAAATTGCCAGTGGAGAGAGGAGTAAACCCTGCACTGGAGCCCGGATCAGCAATTCCTAAATGTATAGGAGGGGAACCTAGGAGACTTATAAACTCCGAACAAGACTTTCACAGGCTCCCTCTGGGATGCTCTGCTACAAGGGTATGAATAATGTACTGGAGGGCAATATTTTTAATATTAAGATAAAATCATGAACTTGAGGCCTTTTTCAATATGAAGCTAAGATCAATAACACAGGTACATGACCTCAAACTAGCAGGAGGAAAGCTTAAAACTAACAAAGTATTTTTTTTTACAAAAAGAGTAGTTGATTGTTGGAAGAGACGTCCTACAGAGGTAGTGAGTCAGTCAACAGTAAGTGAATTTAATCATGCTTGGGACAAACATAGATCTATGCTCTGACAAAAAGGTTTAAAAGAGGAAAAAAGACAAAAAAATCCCTCCAAAAAAAGGGCAGACTCAATGGACTACTTGGTTATTTCTGACACATATACACTGTCCACAATCCTGCACGGAGCCAGTGCCTCACTAAAAATAAAAACACGGATTGTCTCATTTCAATGGCGTCTGGGAGTGGGTGGGATAGATTAGGCAGCAAGTGAACATTTTGTCTCTGAAGTTGATGTGTTGGAAGCAGAAAAAATGGGCAAAAATAATGATTTGAGCGACTTTGAAAAGGGTACAATTGTGATGGCTAGACAACTGGATCAGGGCAATTCCAAAACTGCAGCTCTTGTGGAATGTTTCCGGTCTGCAGTGGTCAGGACCTACCAAAAGTGGTTCAAGGAAGGAAAATTGGTGAACTGGCAACAGGGTTATAGATAGCCAAGGCTCACTGATGCACGTGAGGATCCAATAGAAGCGCTACTGTAGTTCAGATTACTGAAAACGTGAATACTGGTTCTGATAGATATGTGTCTGAACATACAGTGCATCACAGTTTGTTGCACTGTATGCCCGCCCACCTGTTTGTGGCTCCCCGGACGGCAGAGCGGACAGCTGCAGCCAGGTAAGACATCCCCCGAAAAAAATGAAAATCCCCCGTGAAAAAAATAAAATAAGACACTGTCTTATTTTTGGGGAAACACAGTATTGAACCAATGGCCAATTATTTCCATTTTTTCAGGGCTGTGTGTTACAGACCTATAAGTTAGGGAGTTTTTTTTCTCCAGAAATAATGAGAAAATATGGTGAGTGGCCTATCCTCCACCTATTAAGCGTGCTTGTTTATCTTTGGCTATAGCCCCATTACTCTTTGCCATATCTAGATAAATAATCATGTTTGTTTTGGTAACTAGTGTAAATCAAGTAACATCACTAAAGTGCATATTCAATAACAGAAGGGGATATAATACCCTTTAGTAAGGTGTGTGGCCTTTAACAATCAAATAGTAGCTGTTTCAACCTGATTGGTTGCTATGGGCAATGGATGTGTATCTGTTTTGTAGAAAGACAGTTTAAAATGTTTTCATTTCTAGTTTGAGATTTTGAAATCCAGGATCCCAAATGTGTCTATATGGTTTTAATAAAGCTATAGAGAGGAAACAGTTTGATGTGCAAATGGAAAATATGTGCATTTTACTTATATGTTATGAGAAAATTGAGCCTCTCCTGTTTCACATCTGTCAAGAGGCTCTTTACATAATTATCTTGTCTGCTGCACAGAACAATACAAAAGTGTCAGTACATACTAAGTGCAGTCAGTGCTTGGAAATATTGCTTTGCCCCATTTTTTGACAGTTTGACATACCACAAGTCCATGTTGCTGTTGACCATACCTTATCTTGCTTGAACATTAGGATTTATTACAACCTAACCATGATTGTGTAGCTAGATATGTTAGATTGATTAGACAAGTAGGTTGAACATACCTTTTGTGTACTTGTGAATGCTCAAAATAACCTTGCTCTGTTTTTTGCTCTAGGTTGCTTTGCATAAAATTTCACCAGAGAAGATTTCAGGGATTCCTCTGTTGGCTGCCTGGTATGAACGGGTCCAGCAAGTGCCAGGTGTGCAAAGTGCAGCTACTGCTTGTAACATCACCTTCCTTCATTTTCCTGATTTGAATAAATCCAGTGAACAACTTCTGCAAGCATCAGAACCAAAGACAGAAGAAGCAGATTCCTCCGAAGACCAGTTTCTAGGAGGTCCCAGACCAACCATGACCAAACTAAAAGTAAATGTTTTATTTTAAAAGATTCTTGTAATGTCTAGGTCTGGAGAAAGCTAAAACTGTAGTCTTGGATGACTGTGGGCAGGGTGACTATCCTTCTTAGCAAGCCTTAAAACACCTGCTAATGATCACAGCAGGAGATTGATATAGGCTGGACTTAATTTTAGGCCCCATTCACACCAGAGGGCGGTTGCGGATCACCGCAGTTTCCGCACGGATTTTAAAAGGGCAGTTTTGGGTGTTTTTAATTGCATTTCAGAGCTGAAACGCAATAAAAAAATGCCTAAAACCACGCTGAACAGCGTGGTTCAGTTGAAAGCAGTATGGAAACCGCACTAATCAGTGCGGCAAAAAAGTGGCGGTTCGGATCGCGCGGAGTGGTTGCATGAGCGGTCCCCATAGCAATGTATGGGATCGTTCATGTCGGCAGATCCGCACGGCCGAACCGCCCTGGTGTGAACAGGGCCTTTGGAGGAACATTAAACCTGTCTGTATGATCTAGCTGCCCTTCTTAATATAGTGGTCTCACCATAGACACAAACACAGCAAATGTCTGTATGTGCTTTCCCTTATTTGGGTCTGAAGACCCTATTCCACCATGCTTTTCCATACACAGTTATGTGCACCCTATGGAGATTGTTGACTTTTTCAACATATTTGCGCATGCAGACATTGGATCTTTATTCAAGCAGTGCCTACAGACAAATGTATACAAAGGAATTGGAACAATAATTTGTATGTAAAGTGTATTGTGGAAAAAGTAAGTTCACCCTTGACATCAAAAACTGTTATTCCCCCTGTAGCAAAAATTACATCTTGTAAGTATTTTGTATAACTGCCCACCAATTTTTGACAAATTCCTTAAAGAGGAACTTTAACCATATCTTCAAAATAACAAAAGAGGCACCTTTAGAGATTCTTAGTAATAGCAATCTACAAACAGATATTTCTAGATAAGTGCCGGCTTTTTATTTTTTGCATACCTTATTTTTCTTTTCTTCCCCAGTCTTCTCACAGTGACCATTTTACCTAAGGGCAGGTTACTAGATATTCCTTTACTTCCTGGTTTTCTGGCACATGTGACTAGGACAAGTGACCATGCACCTCATCTCAGGGGAGGGAAATGCCTTTCCCTGAGATCTCATGAGATTACAGATGAAATTTCCCAGCAATGCTCTGCTGAGGTAACCTTCCCAGGATGTAATGCTTGGGCATGATTACATCATTTGTGCCAAAGAGGACCAGAAAGTAGAAAAAAAGAAATTGTAAGTAAAAGAAAAAATGTGTTTGTTTAGCTAATAAATGTAAGATGATTTCATATCAGCATGAAGCAGCCATTTGAAAAGGTGACATGAGATGAAGAGGACAGCAAACAAAAAAGTAAGTTTCTGTGTTCATATACAGGAACTGCATATGTCTGCTACATGTACACTTGGTGTACATTGCTGCCGTAAAGGTGGAAATGGACTTTAAGTTCTAAGATGTTTGTGCGTTTCTTTCATGATCTGCCCCTTTCAAAATTCCCCTTTAACTTCAGCTTTTGGACAGATGGCTTCACATCAAGCATGCTTTGGTAGGATTCAGAATGTGTAATTAACTTGATTACTGCGACCTGTCCAGGCCCTGAAGCAGCAAATCAACCTCAAAGCATACATTTTCCACCACCATGGTTCATAGTTGGTATGAGATTCTTCACCTGTCTTCGGGTTGCAGCAAACATGGCTACTGTTACTGTGACCAAACAACTCTATATTTGATTAATCAGTATTCAGCACAGTGCTCCAGAAGGTCTAGTCTTTGATTTTTTGTTGATTTGGCAAACTGTAATCTTGCACTCATGTTTTTCTTGGAAAGCAGAGGTTTTTTCTTAGCCGCTCTCATTTAGGTTGAATTGATACAATCTCTTTTTGATTGTAGATTCATGCACTTTGACTCCAACTGTTGCAAGAGTTACCAGAACACCCCATCATGAAATTTGGGTGTTTCTTGGAGTCTTTCTTTAGCATCAAATGGTCAGCTCTTGAGTTGGATTTGCTGGGCCAGTCATTCCTGCTCAAATTAGCAGTTTTTAAAAATATTTTCCACTTGTGGATCATTTTCCTGCTGAGAAAAGAATGATTTCAAATCATTTGGCAATATTTAGGGATCCACAACTTTCTTTCTGGGGGCCTTAGAGATCTCTTTTGGCGTGGTGACACCACACAGGTCAGTAGCAAACAGAACACCAGACCCTAGATATCTAAGGTTTAAATAAGACAGGTTCTACCTGCATACTCCCTAAGGAGATTCTAATCATTGACACCTAATCTGGAACACCTGTTCTAAGTTAATGGATTTGAAGTAGTCGTAAACGTAGGGGTGTACATACTTTTTTTCCATATGACAAATCTGCATTTTTAAAGTTTGTCAACTTTATGTGTCACTTGTTAAAGTATATTACCTTTATCTTAGAAACAAAATCTAATTATCCTATTCATATAGCTTGGAAAAAAGCATACTTTTTTACATGAATGTATGACATTGGAATTTACATGTCTGAAGTCAACTCTATAATCTATAAGTTAAAGTATTTGTGATAGGCAAAACAACCTTTATGTTTTGGGTAGAGTAGGGAAGCATCAAAACACCTGTTAGGTTATTGTGTCTCAATCGGGAGATTTTCCTTTACTTCTTGCCCTGAGAGCTCAACAGAAAATAGGAGGAAATCTCCCCAAATTGAGGGGGAATTCCCCCAAATTCTTGCACTGGATAAAACGAATTCATACAAATTTTGGATTTTTGCCGACTTTCTGTCCCCGTGACAATAGCCATCAGATAAATAGAAAGGGTGCATCTCCCCAGTGGGACACAAACAACAATAAAGGCTTGACAGATGTCAAGCCCCCCCCCCCAATCCAAGAATACAAAATTATACTAAAGGATAGACATTTCATAATAAATATCTTAAACATAAAGGCCAATACAGTATATTTTAAAGGGTATAAGCCAGCTTTATGCCTTCATGCCAAGGCAGAAAGTGACACCCTGAGGGTAAGCAAGTCAGAGAAATAGAAGTAGCACAGTTCTGACAGTAAATACGAATATCTGACTATAAACGTAACTTCAGGATCATTCAATATAATGATCATTTTGATGAAAAAGTGGTACCTTTTGGGAATCAGTTGTACTAAAATCCAACAGTAATTTTGTAGTGAAAGATCAGTTAAAACAGTTGATTCTGTGATCAATCGTTTATAATATGGCTTGCATGGTTTCGAAGAATGGAGCCATTTTGTTGAAGAGCAAGTGAAGTGACTTTGTATTTAGCAACATCTGAATAGTTTGTTTACTATTACACTTAGCAGTTTGTACTCTCAAAAAAACAAGGAGAGTTTTTATTTATTTTTGCATTACCTAGTCTGTGTTTATAACAGAAGTGATGCCCTTAACCTCTTGCCGTCCGCCCGTAGTAGAAAAACGGACGGACGGCAGTGCTGCATCTGCGGGTTGCCGTCTCCAGACAGCAATTTTTTTCTGCTCGCGCGCGCCCCCTAGCGGGCACGCACGGGCAGAAAAGACCCGACAATGCACACACCCGGTACCGGGTGTCACACATATAGGCGATCAGCGGGTCCATAGCCCGCCGATCGCCTATATGTGCTCGTTCAAACCCCCAGTGGTGAATAAATACCACCAAAAGAAAGCTCTATCTGTCCCCAAAAAAGGGTATAAAATTCATTTCAGTACAGCGCTGCATGATGGAATAAATGTCAGTTAAAGTACCGCAGCGCTGAATACTGAAAAATGGCCAGGATGGGAAGGGGGTTTAACACCGCGGATGTCAACTGGTTAAAGCTTTTTCTACCCTTTATAGTGAATCAAGCTTTATCCTTGTTTAATCCTTTTCAAAAGAGCTTTATGACTCAGCCAAGTTCTGTGAAACATGAACACTGTGGAGGTCTTCTGTTGTTATTTTGTTAAATAACAGCTCCTAACCAGCTGCTAATGAATGCAATGTGCACTGCATTCCAGGATTTATATTAATGTGCTTTCTGGCTGGAACATAAAACACTGCATAAAAATTATTGTATGAGAAACACAAATGTTAGCATTACAGAAAATTAAGCAGATAGTAGTAGCGTTTCCCAAAGTTTGCCTCGTCTTGCACCACTAACACACCCCAGTTTTTCTGCACCACTTATACACAGTCACATGTATTATTATTATTATACAGGATTTATATAGTGCCAACAGTTTGCGCATCACTTTACTATATAAGGAAGACATTAAATCGCAATACAATTCAAGACAAGATGGTAAGGAGGGGCCTGCCCGTTTATGCTCCGTCTTCATAAAAAAAATGCACTATTTCTGCATAGTCTAGAGTAGGCATTCATCCACAAACTCATACTGTTTCCTTTCTCCCTTTGGATTTCCTACAGGCAATCCCTTCACTCCCACTCAATTATGGCAAACACTTGTTCCAGAAACCCAAAGAAGCATTTTCACTATACAGCTTAAAGTGTATTTCCACTTTTGCAGCCACATTGGGATAACACCTATTTTATATTTATTGCTTAACCTTAAATAAAAAATGCTGCCTACCTTTTTTTTAGATGCTCTTTCTGCTAACTCCAGGACTGAAAAACCTGCTTAACCCCTTCATGACTGAGCTAGTTTTCGGGTTCTGTTCATAAATTACTGACACACTTTTTACATTTTTGATGGGTGATTCTTCCACAGCAGTAATATACTTTCTTACTAAATGTACCCACACATATTATATATACCGTATATACTCGAGTATAAGCCGAGTTTTTCAGCACATTTTTTTTGCTGAAAAATGCCCCCCTCGGCTTATATTCGAGTCAGCATCTCGAGAACTGAGGAAAGTGAGTACGCTGGAAGGCACAAAGTGCCGGGATGTACACTGTACGTCTCCCGTCACGAAGGGGTTAATTCTCACTGTCTGGAAGGTTGGAGGGAGTTTTCTTTCAAATAATTAACCCTGTACGTACTGTGCT